TATATATATATATATATGTATATATATATATATATATATATATATGAACACGGATGGTATAGGATGCCACTTTTTAGCTGAGGGAACTGAAGTTTTAAAAAGAGGGACTGCCTCACAGTTTGGCAAGTAGCATAACTGGGATTTACAGTAGGATCTTTTTTATTCCCCAGCAAAGTGAGCACAGGTTTGATGGCTTCAGGATGAGCTATGGGCCTTTTAGGCATGGCTATACTCCAGTGTGGACACTAGAGAGCAATGAGAGCAAACCAGAGAGGCTTTCCCTCTGCAGCTGCCACTGGGCAGCCACAACAGAGCTTCCTATATACATCTTTGAAGGTGGGTTGATGATGACTGTAGTGTCTACTGTTTTCTGCAGTGACTGATGAGCAAAAGGGTTACAGGACTCATCTTGCACCAAAGCACCTAACATACAGTATTTCAATGTTATGCCCTGTTCACTGTGGCTGGTGGTCCTGGATTGTGTAGGAAAGTAAGCTGAAGAACCCTTACAAATCGAGCCAGGAAGCATCATTCCTCTAGAGTTCTGCTTCAACTCCTGCCTCCAGGTTCCTGCCTCAAATTCCTGCCAATAAAACATTTCCCCCCTCAAGTTGTTTTTGGTCATGATGCTTTATGACAGCCACAGAGAGTAAACCAGGGCACATCACATGACTTCTGAGGGTGGCATTCATCAGGATTTGCACCAGGATCTACATCTTTGTTGAGAATAAACTGACATTCCCCCGTGGCCTCCATCCCTTCCTGCCTCAGAGCTTTGTTGTTCCTTTCTGGGCAGCATTTTACAAGAAATGAGGATCAAAGCTACCCAGAAAAATCTACTTTACGATTTATGGGAAAGAAGTAAAAATAATGGATGAACAATTCATCTCCTAAGAGGATTTGCTGGCACACTTCATTCTCGTGTGGTGGAAGCCAAGCGGAACTGTTTTCAAGCTAGCCACACCCTGGCGGCAGGGGTTGGGGGGAAGTGCATCAGCAAATGGGACACAGACAGGGATATGTTTTGGGACACAAAGCCCATGTGCCAGCTCAGGACGACATCACCCTGGGTTCTGACAGGATGTGGATCCACCAAGTGATGTTCAGAGTCTTCCCTACAAGACAGCAGCATTGCAGGGCCTTGGTGGCAGTGGTGGTGGCAGTAGTGGCAGCAGGCAGCTTGGTCTTTTTCTAAAAGAACAAAGCAAAATGTCTTCCAAAACATGTACATAAAAAAAAAAATAGGCAGCTTAAAAATATAGAGAAGTTAAGCAGTCAGAAGTGTATTTTAGTAAGACGAATTTGGTGATAGGATGTAAGAGAAGCAAAGAATTCTAGAGACAGAGAGCTGGGAAGATAGCCCAGTCATAAAAGTGCTTGCCTGGCAGTTATGAGGACCTGAGTTCAATCCTCAGAATTTATATGAAAATACAATAAAAATCCAGGCATGGTGGTGCATGCTCGTAATACCAACATTGGGGAGATAGAGGCAGATTGATCCCTGGGGTTTCATTGTCCAGCCAGCCTCACTCACTTGATGAGTGCCAGGCCCGAGAAACAGCATGAAGTTGTCTCTAGATCACACACACACACACACACACACACACACACACACACACACACACACACGAACAGGCGCACACATGTTCATACAAATCAATAAAAAGAGATCTGGGACATGTAGACATTAGAAATCTGAGGACAACGAATACGTTCTGAGTTGAGATGGTAAAAAAGACCCCCTTGGCGATCCATGGATGGAGCTGGCATCTTGTCTGAATTCAGGAGCTGAGTGAGAGGGCACACTGAGGGCTGCCTCGAATCCTGTGAGCACTGACCTTGCGTTGGTGTTCTGTTCTGACTCATTAGATTCAAGCAAGCCACAGGAGGCAGTCATCGATGTTCTCCACCTGAGGGAACTGGGACTCGGGAAAGCAAATTCATATGGATATGAACCCAGAACCAACTTTCTCCACATTGGCTGCATGGCCTTATTTTCAATGTCAATGACTGGAAAAAGGTGACATCATTTGTTGAGATGGGTGGTCAAGAGAAGGAGCAGGTAGTCATGTGAGTGAAGACAGGATGGGTCACAAGCTGCTTATTTGGACACGTGTAGAGTGCTGATGCTCTGCTAGCACCTTAAGGTGACATGTCCAGCAGACTTCATGTCCCAGCACAGAGAGGGAGCTGGTCTTCATTAAAAAGAATGAAACATCTGTAAAAATAGGATTGGCTGAATTTCCTGGCCAAGCTGTTCAAGAAAAGCCAGCTGTGCTAACAAACAAGAAGGCCATGACCCAGCTGAAGGTCTGGCCAGAGAGGTAGACAGCTCAGGTCCCTTGGGGTTCTGACACATTGTGACTCTGGTGACATCTACAGAAGAGACCAAGGAATGGATTCCTTGGGCTCCCTTCTCATCACAATGGGAGAGCTTCTCAATGTTGCCTGCCCACTACAGTTACCCAGAGAACCTCACTCTAGAGCCATAAAAGCCTAAGGATGGGCTCTGTAAGTGGTATCAACATGAACCAAGGACAAAACTCTTGGGAAAGGGGGCAGGCTGTCTTTGGAGGGGACTGGAGAGAGGGCATGCAATTAGACCTATAAAGCACTTGCACACACTCCAGTTATTTCAGGAGCGTCTATCGGCCTGTACTCCACTGGCTACATGGAGAAACATGAACTAAGTACAGGAATTACTTAATTGGGATCAGTTATTTACTGGAAAAGCCCATGCCTAGAATGCAGATCTGCTGACCCCCCACATTCAGGGCTCTAGAATAACATCCCATAGGACAGCTCCATATAGGGGAAGTCAAGTTCACCCGTACTCTCGAATAAGGACGAAGGTCTTAAAAGTAGCTGTGGTACACAGAAATTCATCCAAAAATAAAGTTAAGTGACTGCGTGGGCATATAAAGAAGTGGAACAGCATACAGGTGACCCTTCAGAGAAAAGCTAGAGATGGCCAGACAGCCTGACAGCCTGGAAGCAGAGGGGTGGTTACAAGGAAGGATCAGATAGTGATGATGAGTTAGTGGTGGGCATAGGGCTGGGGAATGAGACACAGGGACTGTCTGGAGGGGGCCGTGGTACGGTACCTACAGGGTCAGAAGGTCTCACAGTCTGGGCTCAGCACACAAGCCTGCAGCAGATAGTCCAGAAAATGGAGAATCTAGTTCCTGCTGGTATTGTCCACACTGACTCTGCCTCTTAAAGGGTATACCACTGATGCAGACTGTTTGTTTACACTGTGTGAAAATGTGTCACTGTGATTGGTTTAATAAAGAGCTGAATGGTCAATAGCTAGGCAGGAGAGAGAACAGGCAGGATTTCTGGGGAGAAGATAGAACTCTAGGAAGAAGAGAGGTAGATATTCACCAGGAGACTCTGAAGAAGTCAGACATACGGTACAGATTAGAGGTAACCAAGCCACAGGGAAGAATGTAGACGAAAAGAAACAGGTTAATTTGAGTTATAAGAACTAAGTAGGGACAAGCATAAGCTGAGCCAAACGAAGTTTTATAATTAATAATGCTTCCATGTCGTTATTTGTGGGCTGGTGGTCCTGACAAAAAAGTATAGCTACATACCACCTTCCCAACCAGGTAGTTACCTGCTAATTTGGATACACCTATATAATTTAAAACACACTGCTGGGGTTGGGAATGGAGCTCAGTCAACCAGAGTGCTTGCCTAGAATGTACCAAGTCCTGGCTTTGATCCCTAGGTAGTACATAAAGCTACATCTGGTGGTAGTGTGTGTAATCCCAGCATCCCAGATTCCTGGGATACAGGTCAGAAGTTCAAGGTCATGAATTCTTAGCTACATGGTGATTTGGAGGCCAGCCTGTCTTAAAACAAAAGCATCCCAAACTTGTCCTTTTCCATTTTCACAACTGTTCAAGGTAAGCATTATTTTCATACCTCTGCCATTCATGTGTACCTTTACCAGTATAAGCTCATGAAGATGCTGAGGACAAGGGAGTTGCTGCAGAGCTCACGGTAGCACATGTAACTATGTCATGTGGCTGTGGATGGCAAGCCTCAGAAATGTCAAAAACATTTAGTGGGGCCAGCAAATGTCTCAGAGAGTAAAAATGCTTGTGATGCAAGCCTGGTGATCTGAGTTTGATTCCTGGGACTCATGAGTGGAAAGAGACAACTGACTGCTTCAGCTCACACCTGTACAGCTTACGACCTCTACACACACACATACACATGCACACACACACACACACACACACACACACACACACGCTCTATGGCTTAACCTAAATGTGCAAACACTTATCACACACAATAATGATGATGATTATAATTTTATAAAAGCAAAATCATTTAATGCTAGCTTGGGGTGATGGTTGCATATGTAGCCTTCCTAAACTGAGGTTCAAGGATCGGGAGTTTGAGATCAGCCAATGCTATATGGCAAGAATGTCTTAGAAAATATCACCTCTACCATCAGGACCATCACCACCACTACCAGCAGCAACTTTAGATTCTGGGCCTAGAGAGATGGCTCGGGGTTCAGATCACTTGTTCTTCTAGAGGACCCAAGTTCAGTTCTCTGTTCTGCAGCTCCTACCTGTAAGCCCGACTCCAGTAGACCTGGTGCCCCATTCTGCATACACTCACTCAGGCACGTACGTGTAAATAAATATAAGAGTGAATCTGTAAAAACACACCTAGGATCCCCCCTCTGATAATTTCTCAATCAATCAGCCTGAGATGGTGCCTGGAAATGGGCATTTCTAGCAAGTTCTTGGGTGATGTTAACACAGATGGTCTGGGGTGCTGTGAGGGCACAAACAGAAACTAAAGCTGCCTGTTCTGTGTGACTCATTGTGACTACAGGCCTCCTAGGCTGTCAGAGGCCTTCAGGCGAGTCCAGGCCTGCCCTGGGAGTACATTGTAGGGTAGATGGAGAAAACACGTCCTTGTTGGGTTCCTTGTCTAAAGCGCATTGCCTGTGACCTCAGATACAGGACTCTCAGTGGGTGTTTTATTATTTATTCACTTGACAGGAGATAGACACTCAGTCCTATAAGACACCATGCTATTGGCTGAAGGATTTGCCATTGAGCAAAACTCCCTAGAGGTCTCAGGAGGAGCTCTTGCATGGCCTGCCAAGGACAGCTCAGTCATTGCAGGAAAAAGCCAGACCCAACAGACAAACTCACTGCTAGATCTTTCCAGAGAGCCTGTATCCCACTGCCTTCAGAGCCATCGCACTCACACATGCCAGGCATTGTCAAAACAGTGGTCATGCTGGGAGCAAGAGCTCCCAGCCAGAAGATGGCCTTAAAACCATGGCAAACAGGACAATTTGTATACCTTACAAACATATAAATTACAAGGTCTACATGGATACAAAAGCTTTCTAAGGGGACTGAATTCCATTCTCTGTCATGCTAGCTATTTGTGAGGACCTCGAAAACAAAGTTTGTTTTCAGTGGAGGCAGTATTAAAAATAGAAGCTATCATGTACAGATTCGGCTTCTCTCATGTCCACCATGGAAGCCCCTGGTGTTGTCCGGGCCTCTGGGCAGCCTCAGCACCCCTACAGGTAACCCATCTGCGGTCTGCATCTTCCGAGACAGCAGGGGACTTGCCCCTGGACTTTTCTCCTGTGTCCCCATCTCAGCTTGGCGTCGTCTGCGAACCCAGGGGCTGCCGGAGGGAGTGACACTGCTGTCCGAAGAATAATCCATGCACTTCCGGAAGATCTCAGGGCTGGTGCTGAAGTTCAGTCTACCTTCTTCAGCCAGTGGCGATTTTCTGGAGACGCCCTTGCGCTGGGCCAAGGGGCTGCTCCATGGGCTTGAGCATGGCGAAGCATTTGGGCTCAGAAAGATATTCTGGTGGCCAGAAGGGCTGAGCTTGTTGGTGGACATATGCCGCCGGCCAGCCATAGGAGAGGTGGGATTGCTCTCGGGGTCAGAGGAACTGTTGGCGGAAGACTCATCCCCCATGTACTGAAGCTCTTCCACTCTCTTGTTCAGGGACCTGCTTAGGTGGGTACTTGCTGTGGGCTCATCATCGTGGTTCCTGTCTTTGAGAGGTTTCTTTTTGGGTGGTTTCATCCCAATCAAGACGGCTTTCATGTTGTCCCTGCCCTGAGATTCAGTGACCATGAATTCATGGGCTTTAATGGCCGCATCTACCTCCTCGAACTCCACTATGGCACACTCCTGGGTCCCCACCTGGCTGTAGCGGCTGCTGATCCTCCGGATGTCAGGGGGCAGCTCTCTCCCAGGCTTGAGGATCCGCACCGATGAAATTACTCCAAAAGTCCCAAAGAGCTTGAGCAGATGTTCCATCACCTTCTCCTGCACCCTTCCGTTCTTCTGGGGCGTGGCCAGGGACCAGGGTTTAGGGGACAGGTGTAGATCATACACCAACAGCATCTTGCTGGGGAGATTCTCATTGGGGAACAGTGGCACAGGGGTGGTTCTCCTAACCTTCCGGTGGTCCTCATTCAACTCTAGGGTGACTGAATACTTCAAAGCATGTGCTGTGGTTCTCCAGTCCCGTGTGAGGTGTTTCACCTAAAGAACACAAAGAAGGTCTGAATGGTACCTCCTCTCCTTTCCTTACTTGTATATGCTGTACTCTCCCTCCCTTCCTTCCTCACCTTCTTAACACCAACGACTATATTCATACCTGGTGTGGGAGACATTCAAATACCAGTCAGAGAATGACTAACAAAAAATTTCTCTAACCACTTCTCCAATGGTTTCGTTCCTTTAAGAAGGTTCAATAAACTTTATTATAAAAACTGTAAAAAAAAAAAAAAAAAAAAAAAAAAAAAAAAAAACCACACGCACTCATGCTGAAATTAACCAGACCTAAAGTCTATGTTGTGGTTATATATTATTTATGATTTATTAAAGCTTGATGGAGGATTCAGAAAGCAAAGCCAGACACAAGCTATAGAGGCCAGGCAGTGGTGATACACACCTTTAATCCCAGCAGCCATACTAGCTAGCCAGGCAGTGGTGGCACACATCTTTTACCCCAAGATTTAGGAGACTAGCAGATGGATCTCTCTGAGTTCAAGGCCACCATGGCCTACACAAGAGTGAAGAGTAACAGCTCACACCTTTGATCCCAGCACTTGGGATCACAGGCCTTTAATCCCAGCACTAGGGAGGTAGAGACAGGGAGGTATGACAGGCTGGAGAAAATAATACAAGGAGGAGGAGATAAGAACTGAGAGATTTTGCTTCTGAGGATTCGTAGAGACAGGACTGCTCTTTCAGTGGGGTAGAAGTAAGATCTACTGGTTTGGCTGCTTTGCTTTACTGGTCTTCAGCTTGAAGCTCGAACCCCGATATCAGTCTCTGGGTTTTTAATTATCGTGTTACACTACGTATCTCAATGAACAGTTAGAATAGCTGTTCTGAAGCTTGTAGCTTCACACTGGGTTTTACACTTTCACTATCAAATGTGCTCTATGAAGTTATCCACCACCCAGACGGAAACAGCCACAAAAGAGTTAGAACTAGAATAATAACTAGCTTTAGATCCTCCCTCATAACTCACATCCTGCACCTGCATTCAGTCCTTCCTTATCCTGATAGCTTTTCTTGCTCGCTTTTTTACATGTTATACTGCATTCACACGCATGCTTGTTCACATATATGCATATGCTATTGGCTAGATTCTGCATACAAGAGAAGACATCTTTGTTTACCTTTCTGAGATTGTGTGACTTCACCAAATATTATACATTCTAGGTCCATCCATTTGCCTGCAAACACTGATTACATTTTTTCTTTAGAGCTGAGTAGTATTTCACTATCCATTCATTTGTTGGTGGGCAGCCTAGATCGATTCCAAGTCTTTGTTATAGTGACTAAAGCCAAAATAATAACAATAGCTCTTGTTTCTCTTCAGATTATAAACACATTTTGTCTTTTTTTAAATATATATATAATACTTGGGATTGAACCTAGGGCATCATGCATGGAGCTAAAGCTACAGCCCATCTTTCTTCAGCTTCAGATTGGGACAGCAGGGTTTGGAGCAGGGCTGTGCAGTGGAGTACTACATGATAGTAGAAATTCTCCCAAGTTCACAGGTCAGATTCTGTACACTCTAGAACAAGGCTGTAATATACATAGACCCAAGCCGCATCTCTATCCACTAGGAAGACTTGGAAAATTACTCAGCCTCTCAGTGGCCAAACTCCTCATCTGAGTGCAGGTGGATCTCTATGAGTTCAAGACCAGCCTGGTCTACAAGAGCTAGTTCCAGGACAGGCTCCAAAGCTACACAGGGAAACCCTGTCTCGAAAAACAAAAACAAACAAAAATAACAACAACAACAACAAAAATCTGTTAAATAGTGCTGTCACAAAGGTGAAATGGGAACTTGAGAGATGGCTCAGCTGGTAAAGTGCTTGTCACACAAGCATAAGGGCCTGAGTTTGACTCCCAGAACCATGTGGAAAAAGCCAGGCAAGGTGACATGTGCACTGGGGAATCACAGACAGGCTTGCCAGCCAGCCACCAGCCAGCCAGTTCCAGGTAGGGAGGGACCCTGTCTCAAAAAATAATGTGGTTGGCTTCTGAGGAATGACACTTAATATTAATCTCCAGCTACTACTACATATTATCTGCACTTATACATGCAAACACACACACACACACACACACACACACACACAGAGAGAGAGAGAGAGAGAAAGAGCGAGAAAGAGAAAGATTAAATAGTAAAAAAATAGAGACTTTTATTGTTTTTTGGTTTTTTTGAGATAGGGTTTCTCTGTATTGCTTTAGAGGTTGTCTTGGAACTTGCTCTGTAGACCATACTGGCCTCCAACTCAATGAGATCCACCTGCCTCTGCCTCCCGAATGCTGAGATTAAAGGCATGAGTCACTAATACCCAGCTGGAGACACATTTGTATACATAATTTAAAATAGTAGTTCACTCTCCAAGAATATCCATTAGCAATGTGTTATCACTGTTTCTCTTTCTCTCTCTCTCTCTCTCTCTCTCTCTCTCTCTCTCTCTCTCTCACACACACACACACACACACACACACACACACACACACACACACACACACGAGCTTCGGGTAGTCCTGGGACTGAATGTAGAATGTCAGGCAAGCAGTCTTCCATGAGCTATAGCGCCAGCCCAGAAATCATCATTATCTTCTCCTTCTCTTCCTCCTCCTTCTCCTTCTTCGAGACAGAGTTTCACTATACAGTCCAGGATGGACTCAAACCCCTTCAATCTAGGCATCCAAAATATTGGGACTGTAGGCAGTCACCACTGAAAGTGCTGATACTTTGAAAGGATTTGGGAGGGTCTGACAGTCTCTGAAGCTGTGACTGACAGTTGATAAAGAGAAATCTCCAAAAATCTTCACTGTTCCGCTGTAATCTCCCCCAAGAGTAACAGACACAGACACCTCATGGAATTACACTGACCTGGGCCTCTTGAAAAACGATGAAACAATTCCTCCTTTCCCTCCTATGATGGAAACTACACGTACTGAAGCTGCAGTATATGAAAAGCTATATTTATTTCATAAAATGGCAATTTTGCGGAGGCCCACTTCCAGTGAAGGGCCTGCCAGGGAGATGAGTCATCCCAGAGAAGTGGTGAATGTGGGTGGGGTAGGTAACCTGAGCCTGGATAGGGAAATCACCCAGAATCCTCTGAGGCCAGGGTTGGGAGCTGATCTGCAGAGGGACCAGGAATTCCCCATGCCCCTGGGACTCAAACAGAGAAGGTACAGAAAGCAAGAAAGGAGGGCTCACTTTTTGGCAGGGCAGGGAAACCTCCACAGAGCCCCAAGTCCTGACTGATACACTGCTGGAGCATGTGCATTGTCCACTCTGGCCTGTGGCCTCTCATTATTAGCATGAAGAACCCTAGTCACCTACAAAGAGTCCTTGGGCTGATCACTACGACACAGAGAAGCAGGCCTGGTCCTACAGTTGGGTTTCTAGTGAACATTCAGTCAATTGGGAATCCGGAAGGGGTTCAGATAGATGAAGGTCACTGTAAGGTTGTAGGAAAGCCAAGGCCTGGCATGATGGAGCCATCTGTGAAAACAGCTGGGAAGGGAGCATGCAGGAGAGGTGAAGAATTCTCCCCTAAGCTTGAAGTCAAGTCAGAGCAGGGAAGCATGTGCTGCCTTACCAGAAAGCATGACCACTAGGGAGGATCATGTCCTACCAGAGAGGAGAACTGTAGAGGACCGGGAACACACAGAGGCAAGAGCCAGGTCCCCTGGGAAACCTTGCTTACTCTATTGGCATCTCAGGCCCATGTCTGTGATGCTTTATGATGGTTTCCAATATCACATCAGAATGGAAACCAGGGGGCTGGAGAAATGGCTCAGTGGTAAAGCCTACATGATGGCTCCCAACAGTCTATAGCTCCAGTTGCAGAAGACCTGACACCTTCCTCTGGACCCTGAGGGTACTGCATACACATGGTACACACACACACACACACACACACACACACACACACACACACACACACACACACACCGATAAAATAAAGTAGTTTTATTTTAAGAAAGAAGTTTGGCCTTGGGCAGCCTCTAGAACTCTGTCAGATTGTCAGAACCTCTGTGTGATGGTTGCCCATCATTGCCAACCTGACTGGATTGAGAATCCCTATGGACGCAAGCCTCTGGATGTGCCGGTGAGGAGGCTTCCAGAAAGGATTACCTGTAGAGGCAAGATGAGCCCAAAACATGGGTAGTCCCATCAGAGGTCCAGCTGACTGAACAAAAAGGAGAGAACGAACTGAGAAGCAGTACTCACCCCACTCTGCTTCCTGGCTGTGGGTGCCATGTGACCAGTTGCCTCACTCCTGCTGCCATGCCTTCCTTGACATGAGGGGGGGCACCTTCAACACTGACCCAAAGCCTTATGCCACATTTGTCAGGTATTTTGTCACAGTGATGAGAAAAGGAACAAATGCATTGTAACCTCCTTGTGTTTGTTGCCTTCCTCTGATACGTTCCTTTGACTAGCAGGAAACCTTTCTAGAAGGGGGTATGAACTGGGGAGTGTGAACTGGGGGTGTGTGAATTGGGGGGTGTCCACCTTGCAGCTGGTTTTAAAGAGAGAACGCTCCTGAGTGGAAAGGAGAGAAAACTGGGGTGGCTCTTGAAGCCCTTGGGGAGCACAAAATGGGGGACATATAGAGGATCCCACTGGCTTTTTCATTTAGAGGTCCCCAACCCTGGAAGTATTTTTCATGGCAGAGCTTGTTGTCTGGACATGAAACATTCCTTCCCATCTGGACCTTGCAATTCCTGTTCATCCCCTAAGATCATATCCCAACACCACCACTCCAAGAGGACGTCTCAGTTCTCTAGACAGGGTTCATTGCTCTGATCAGGGAGTCCCCAGATATCTTTATGTCTTCCATCAGTTTGTCTGTGGTTACCCTGTAGCATTTTGTGGATCTCTTGTTTTCCATTGAACAGTAAGTCTCTCAAGGAAAGACAGAATGCCATATTCATTTTTTACCTCTTGCACTTAACACAACACTCATCATATACAAAAATAGTATGTCTGGTGAATGAATTTAAAAAAAAAGCCTCAAGAAGAAGGCTGAGTATACCAGGGAGCCAGACAGAGAGGCTCCAAGATATGGAGCTTTTCATCCAGTGCTCTCTGATAAAGCGCACAGACAGCTTGGCCAGGACCCACTCCTGTGGGCCCACTCCTTACATAAGTTGTTATGCAACAAGCTGCATGGTGCTTTCCCATTCTAGTAAATACACCCCCCCAAGGGAGATACACAGTTATTATTCCAACTGGTTAGTCAGTCCTCTGAAAGCAGGGAGTTTAGGGTCCAAGTTCTGCATCTGTCCACAGCAGGAATGAGCAGTCTCCTGCGTGACTGCCAGTGCCTCCTCAGCATCTATCACTCTGGTACACGGAGTTCCCTTTGGTATCACACAGAGTGGAGCATGCTGAAGTCACAGAGGAGGATTTTCTCACTGTGTTCTGTGTGTTCTCTCCCATCACATACTGACTCAGCTTATCAAGTGGAAAGCTTGAGTGGGAGTCATGCAATTCTAGACTGACTGGCATCTCTCAAGGTCTCCAGGACCCCCTGTTCTGGCATAGCATCCTCTGGGCATCCATGTGACTGGCTAGAAGACCCAAGCATTACTGAGGACAAGTCACAGCATTTCTTACTAACCACCAGCTGAGATCTGTCCTAGTACTCAGAACCCAGAAGCCTTTACATAGCATGCAAGTATATTCTCAAGAATGCTCTCATAACCCTCGTGGTGTTTGTGTGTGTGTGTGTGTGTGTGTGTGTGTGTGTGTGTGTGTGTGAGAGAGAGAGAGAGAGAGAGAGAGAGAGAGAGAGAGAGAGAGAGAGAGAGAGAATGTGTGTATACAGGAACCACATGTCAATCCTGGTGTCATTCCTCTCAGGTCCATCCGTGTTGCTATTTATTTATTTATATTCAAGACAGAGCCTCTCATTGCCATAGAGTTCATGCAGTAGGCTAAGTTGGCTTTTCCCTTAGTCCCCCAGATCTTTTGTTACCTCCCCAGCTCTAGAATTACAGGCACAGAACCAAGCTTGGCTTTTTCATGTGCATTCTGGGGATCAAATTCAGGTCCCCATGCCACTAAATTCCTTCTCTTGGTAACTTCTCTCTTTTTCAGGCATCATATTTAATTAAAAATTTGCTGGGCAGGCGGGCCTATGGCAGGGTGTGGGTGGTGGGGTGCAAAACAAAACAAAACAACAAAATATTTAATGCCACATGGCCCACACCCCAGAAACGTTACGCGCAGCCTCTGGGAAGCCGGCCTCACCTTTTTGAAGGAGGTGAGCAGCTTGACGCTCACGTAGCCCAGCTTATTTCTGCGCACGTGCTTGAGCAGGAAGGCATCCTTCTCCAGGTTCTCGTCTGAAAAGTAGAACTCGATCTGATCCACCAGCTTCCTGATGAGCTCCTCATCCGGGGGCTTCCACTCCGGCTCCAGTTCCTCGCGCTCATTCTCCCCGCCACTTGTCGTGGCGCTGCTGAGGTCAGAGGAAGATGGCCAGTTAGTTACGGGTTGAACTGTCACCCTACAAATTCACAGACTGAAACCTCAGGCCCCAGAACTCGGCCTTCTCTGGAGTCAGTCACTGTGGATGTTAATGAAAGGGTGAGCCCGCTGTAGAGTAGGATGGCCTCCAATCCCATGCAAATCAGGTCCCCAAGAGAGCCAGGAACTTGGGCACAGACAAGAACCGGGGAAACAGCTACTCACGTGGAGATTAGGGTGGCACAGTGCAAACCAAGCCAGCGGTGGGGGGAGAAGCCGGTCAGCTCCTGTCCCAGAACCACCTGCTCCACTCATCTTTCTACTCCCATTTCTAAATGTACATATTCTCCAGGCATCCGTTCTTGAGTGTACATTTGATCTAATTTGAACGGAACCCCTCATTTATGACTTCCCTGTTGGTTATATACTATCTAGCATGTACCTGGTTGTCATAGTAACCCTTGGAAATTAGACGTCATACATATCTGAATTGGTTTCCTTAGAGGTGGTTGGCCATAACATATTCCGAAGGCTCTGTTCGCAATCACCAGAGAATTCAAACTTTTGTTTTAACAAGTACAAAGGATCTTGAAAATAATAACACAGGGCTGAGGCTCAATTGGTCAAGTGTTTGACAAATGAATATGAGGACCCAAGTTCAGATACCCACCCAGCACACAGGTTAAAAAGCCAGCGGATGGTAGTGCCTGACCATAATCCCAATATTAGGGAAGCAGGGACAGAAAGGTCCCTGGGACATTGGCCCACAAGGCTAGGCAAATTGGTGGGCCCCAGGTTCAAAAACAGCCTCAAAAAAAAAAAAAAATACAGCACAACTGAGGAAGACACCACTGTCAACCTCTGACCTCCACACATGTGCACATGCACATGTATACATACAAACACACCCGCACAAAAATAAACTAGAATCTGTGTCACTCAGATGCCAGCAAAATGCACTCGTTCCCAAATGACAAGCATGGATTTTGTCTTCCCTCCCAACGATTCCCACCTCCAGGTATGATTTTTAGAAGACAGCACAGTGGGCCTGCCCTGGAACCCTGGGCTTTCCAAGACCCTGCTGTGCCAGAGATATTCCTAAAAAGACAAAAACTTGATCTGTTATCTGGTGGTGGTGGTGGGGAATCTCTTCCTTCACGGCAATGTGGTCATAGCCACTAGGGAGTACCGTTCAAATAAGACCCAATGAGCGCTCAAGGGTAGATGCTTAGAGGATGTGAACATTTAGAAATAGGAGGAGAAAAAAGAGGCAGAACTGGCAGCTAAGTGGGGGGACAAATCAGGAAGAGCAAGTCACCTCTGCCCAGAGGGGAGAGGGTATGGGGAGGTGGGTGATGGTGTTGAATCCTGTGGTGAGGTTCAAGAGGACCAGCGGGAGCATGGGAGCCCAGGCAGACATGCTCTGGAGGGATGTCTCTGGAGGGGTATTGCATAGGGGAGGCCTGACTACGCCCCATCTTGCCAGGCCCAGGTGAGATGGGAGAGGAATGCTGTGCAGGGAAGAAGCAGACACAGCTGGCCCTGGGAAGCCCAGGGCTCCAGCCTCTGCTGGCTACCTTCTTTCTGCCTTGTTCTGTTTACGAGTTTACCTTTGATCAGGGATCAGCTGCTCCATTTTGGAAGTAGAACTTATTGATTGGTCTGCCCCCTTTATGTATAGGTCATTTGTTGTAAGTTCTATCGTTTGTCAATGCACAGAGTCCAGCCAAAACTCTCCACTGGCCACCATCACATACTCCATCCTATTCCCTACTAACTGACATTATTATTGGCTGGGCTCAGAATCCCTAAGTGTTTGTAGTTGTCTTCACTGGTATAGTGTCTGAAGGTACCCCATTATAAAATAACAATTTAGGGTCACTTAAATCCCATGGCATCTTCTTCCAATATTAAAGTTTTTATTTTATTATTGGTTCTTTACTAACCTTCTGTCTGTGTGCAGACAGATTTTCATGCAGTTCAGGCTGGCCTCAAACTCACTATGTAGCCAAGCATGAGCTTGCGTTCTTGATCCACTTGCCCCTGCCTCCCATGTGCTAGAAAAACAAGTGTTGCACCACCATGCCCAGTTTACACAGTGCTGGAGATCAAGCCAAAGGCTTCAGGCATGTTCAGTAAGTATGCAGGCAGTGGAGCCATTTCCTGGATCTGTTTGCTTTTTGAGAATACATTTGAGATGGTTTCTCACTTGATTGGTGCTATCTCCATCACTGCTCAATTATATAGATATGTGCTGCTTCATCCCTCCTTTCATGGTCTCTCCTTCTACTTCCAACCCCCCAAATTCAATTGGAAGAACTACTTCATTTTCCATAGTTTATTACCCCACTCTATGCTGCAAAATAATATTCCAAGTGCTGTCTAGAGATAGATATGAAAGTTGAAAGTTAATCTGTTTTATTATTGTGTCTGTGTAAACACATACCCTGTAGGGCAGTTATTTGCTAAGATAACATTTAAGTGCTGGATGGGGATCAAATCCAGGGTCTTGAGCATTCTAGGCAGGCTGTTTACCACAGAGCTACACACTCATCTCTTGAGACAGTTTTGCCTTTTTGTTTTTGTTTTCCAGGCAGGTCATACAATGATGGTCAGGCTAGCCTTGCTGTCACTGTGTTGTTCAGACTAGCCTTGGCTTCTCCAGATGTTGGTACCTCCAGCTTCCATGTGGTGGAATTACAGATACATACTGCCATGCCCAGTTAATATTGTATTTATTTTCTGAACCTGTCCAAATAGTTTGTGACCACCTGAACTGATCTGTTTCTTGTGTAACATCTGTTTTTGCCTTAGTGAAGGACAGTTGTTGATCCTCAGACTGTATCTTCTTGCAAGAGCCCGTGTGTGTGTGTGTGTGTGTGTGTGTGTGTGTGTGTGTGTTCACATGCATATGGGTACATGTGTATGTGCTGGGTTTAAGGTGGGCCACCATGCCTGGGGATGCAAATTCTGTTCCTCATGCTTATATAGGAAGTGCATTGCTGACTGAGCTATCTCCCCAGCCCTAGACTGTTCCCTTTTAAGAGCATACTGTTCTTGTTTTCTGGATACAGTAGCTTATATTCCCTCTCAGAGTACTGACTTTTAAAACACTAACACCTCCTGTTCTTCTAATTACTTTTCATGCTATTGCTTTGTTTGAAGTGACTAATAAACAATTCACTTTTTTGTTTAAGATTTCAATAAGCTTATTTTAAAATAGTTTTAGACTTACAGGAAAGTTATTAAAATAGCACAGTGAGTTCTATATGTCTCACACCAGGCTTATTTATTATTAATGTCTCCTAATGCTGTAGTATACTTCTTAACGAGGACAATTATGCAGTGTCATTCGCTGAAGTACATAGTTTAGATGTCTATCATTTTCCCTGAAAGGATCCCACCCAAGAATCCTCATGAAGTGCTGTATTACATATCTCCTGAGGCTTCTCTTGGCTTTGACTTTCTCCAGATGTCCTTATCTTTGATGACCTCAACAGTGTTGAAATGTCCTAGTTAAGTATGTTGTGGAATGTCTTGCCATTGAGGTTTCTCTGATGCCTCCACCATGATTATTTCAAGGCATGGGATCTGGGGAGGAAGATTGCAGAGGTCAACTTCCATCCTTCATACATCATATCAGGACATAGCAACATGGCTTTGTAACTGAGCTGGTCAGGTTTCTCCACCTAAAACCATTCCTTTCCCTTGGAAGGAGTCAGGATCTCCTGTGTACTCTTCAGGAGGGAAGCTAAGCTTCATACTATTCAGTTGGAAGGGGGAGGACCTGGTACCTTTCTTAGTGGATTAAATGGCTCCCCCGCAGATCTGTACCCTTGTTAGTTTGCTTCGTAGTTGGCTCTAAACACTGGAAGGGGGCAGGTTTCCATTTAGAGAATTACCCAGTTGAGCTTTCCTCCCAAAGCAGAGGCTTTTCCCTGCAGCAACCAGATCCCTAGAACTCAGCTTACATGCAGCTCCTTCAGAAACACCTTCACTTCCTTTCTCCTGCTGGGCAGTACCTGTCGTGTTGCCTGACTCTCTTTGCTCATAGACAGAGACTGGAAAACAGGTGTAAAGGGAAAATATAAATTAAAATTACCCTTCAGATATTGCTTCTCTTTTTATTCTTGTATTTTCATACATTTCCCAAGCAGAGCCTTTCTCTGTTCTATCTCCCACCTCCTCCCACCTCCTGCGCTGTATTTTGGGCTCCAGCCTCCTCCTCACAACGCCACATTATATACTGTAAAGAAGGTGCTAGAATATGCAGCTGTTCTACTTTAATAATATTACTACTGATTGAAACACAGTTCCCATTGCCCACCAAACAAAACCTGCAGTGTTTAGCTCCATATTCAAATGCACTTAGAATCTAGCTGTCTCCATCATGCAAACTCATCTCCATTTACTTCCTGCAATGCTCTTTGTTTCATGCAAATAGAAAGCTTCCTCATTTCATACCCTTGAACACACAACTCCTGACTCTTTGAATGGCTTGTCCCACTCTTAGCCACACATCTCCAAAGTGACCTTCTAGGAAGGAAATCAACACTAATGCTTGTCTATATTTGTATCGTCGCTCTCCATGTGCATATCTTATTAGCACTCTGAACCCTAAGTTGAAAGTAGAAGTTATATTGGCTTCTCTTATTCTAGTACCATTTAAGAGGCTTGCACATAGTAGAAAGTTTTAAAGGTATTTGCCATATAAAACAAATAGGTTTTGTTATAGTAATTCATATCTACAGAGGCCCTTGTTGTTATTTGTTTTTGTTTTGTTTTGAGACAGGATCACCATATAGCCTTGGCTGGCCTAGAACTCCATTTATAGATCAGTTTGGCTTTTAATTCATAGAGATCTACCCGTCTCTGCCTCCTGAGTGCTGAAATAAAAGGCATGCACTACAATACCTGGTTCTCAGAGACTGTTCTAGAAAGGAAGTGTAGTTACTGGTAAATATATATTAATTCCTCTTGAAGAAGACT